GGTTTTTCAGCAAGAGTGAATGGTTTTGAGTGTAGAGCTTCATTTTGACCTGAAAATAGGATGTTTGGGGAATTGGGGAGACGTTATGGATTTGTGGCTATTGTTTTGAGAACACGAGGCATAGTTTCAAGAAAAGTGTTTAAGCAATCGAGAAAAACTGTAAAATCACCAACAATTAAAACTTTATCTGCAGCCAGCACTAACTCTGATATAAAAGCAGCATATTCTGTAATAAAGCCTGTATGGTGGCCTGTATACAGTAGCCAGTTAAACATCACCGGACTTATCATTAACACTTGTTTCTCTGGATAATGTTATATGAAGCACCATTACTTCAAACGAGTTATACTTGAAGCCCGCCCTCTGAGAAATACTGAAAACATTGTTATAAATTGTAGCAACTCCTCCCCCTTTACCTTTTGGACGCGGCTCATGTTTATAACAGTAATCTTGGGGGGTAGACTCATTTAAAATAATGTAATCATCTGGTTTTAGCCCGGCTGGTGCCTTAAAAATCTGACCAGATACTGACCACATATACAATCATCTTCCATTAAGTGTGAGTCCTATACGTGTGTCTGTACAAGACAGTAATAAACCGTAACATTCAGGAAGCCTGACAACACTGAAACTCATTCTAACGCACTCAAGCACAAACTCCGGTCAAGAATGAGAGCGCTGTATTGAAAGTCAAACACATGAACAATTGCACTGTGACCGTAAGGCAACTATGAGTTTTCCCAGCAAAAATCTATTTTTACCCATATATGGCTTAAATTGATTCCACAATTATTACTGTTTTGTAAATAATAAATGAATAAGCAAGGGGTGAGAAAACAATAACAAACAGCTCAAAGCCCTTTGATATGTGACTCTAAGGCTACTGAAAATGTGTTTAGTGAAGTCCAGTTTGGTCATCTTAGTACATTAATCAAATCAAAACAAACTAGTCAGTATAGTTTCTAGAGGTTTAAAAAAACAAAAACAAACATTTAATAACTGAACAAACACTGATCTGCTGCCATTTCAACAAATCTGCTGATAATGAGAACCTGATTTACTGAAGCGTTTGTCACGGAGTCAGCATCAGCTCCAGCGTCGGTCGAGTCTCTCGTGCACCGGGCTCATCTGGCATCCAAGCGCATGGACTATTTCCACAAGTGCTAGTTACTCTGACCGAAGCAGACGTATTCAGATGCTGCAAACGGACCAATGATCCTCTCACACGGTTATTGCATGCTGAGTTAGTTGTGCTCTGAAGAGGACGATCCTCTCCTGAAATGACATTCGGTTCCACAACGACCTGTGATCAACACCCACAGCAGCTAAACCTCATTCTGTCACCAATGTCCATCTGAACCTCCTTCAATCAAAGAGAACATCGCACAACAGAAACGTCTGATGTTCACACACATTCAGAACACAAGTCATGATTGACAGAAGAATTAAAACCCCTAAAGGAAAAGCTAAAACCACTTAAAACCGTGACTCTCTCTCGCTCGACTTCCCTCACAACGCACCGATGGTCTCTATTCCTTTCAGGACGTCGTAGATCTCTTTGGGCAGGATAACGTAGCTGTCTCCCGGCGCCGCGTCCCTCTGGACCTCGCTCATGGCTCTGAAGCGCTCCAGCTGCCTCTCCTGCCGCCTGCACTTCTGCTGCACCGTCTTCAGTCTCTTGCGCAGCTTCTCCATCTGCTCCTGCAGCTGCTCGATGCGTCTCTTCTGCTGCAGCGTGTCCTCCACCGTGTAGTTGTGGTCGCAGGAGACGAAGGCGCTGGTGTGGAGGTCCGGGCCGGGCTCCGGCAGGGCTGTGGACGGGCAGAGCTCTGCTTCAGAGGGACGCACCGCCGGCGTCTCTTCGGCGTCAGACAGCGGCAGGCTCAGAGAAAACTCCATGTCTGGGCTCAATGTTTCCTCCAGAGGCGCTGCCTGTGAACAACGGAGGGCAAATTATGTTATTTTTTTTCTCATGTGCTAATGATGAGATTTATAGGGCTCATATGATGGGAACTCAAAGGCCGTGTCCCGAATGGAGCGCTTGATGCAGACTTGCGCTCGCAGCATTTGGGACAGGGCCGTGGTTTACCTGAACTTTGGAGAAAAGAGAGTTTGAAACATTCTGTAACTTTCATAACGCCTCGTTCTCAGTCTGAAAAGAGCGGAGCGTTTTGTGATCCAAACACTCATTCAAACCGCATTCAGAGGTCGTCAAAAACACGCGTGACCACTGAATCATTAGCGTTTACATTTCAAATGCATCCTGGACAAAAGTGAGACGTCCGCTCATCTTCACCCAACCACTTTACCAGCTGAGAATGACGTTACTGGGTCAGTTTACCCAATAAATAAACTTCTGTCATTTACTTCTAAGACCTACTTTATACTGTGCTCGGCTGCTGTTTCCCAGGAAAGTGGAGGGTGGACTATCAAGCTCCAAAAACGACAAAAAGCTTGTTTATGAGACAGACCCAATGGAACCAATGGCATTTGGCAGACATCAAATAAGAGCAATGAGCCTGAATATCCGTCTGAACCAATGAGATTAGAGGAGGAGGAGACAGATTTACATCATTCCTCCCATTAATCGCATGACTTCAGGAAACTGTAGATATACCGTATTGGGCACAAATCCCATGGATTACTTTAATGATCCTGAGGAGCCCAGATCTGGAGCTAGACACCCTCATTTTACATGTATAGAGGTTAGACAATCATAACGGAGGTCATATCTAACTAATTAGTTATAATGGTTAGTTAGACAGATAACTACAGCATGTGGTAAGGGTAAAAAAATAAATGCAATAAAGGTTAATGTTTTGCTGAACCGGGAAGGAAAAAAAACAGATTATCTGAAAAAATAGAAAATGACTTTTTAAAATGTTTGTTCAGGTGTAAATCTCTGTGCCGTTTCTAGTTTCAAGAGCACGACTAACACTACACTCTGTCATGAACACGTTCACCAATAACACCCATGAACACAAGAGGTTTGCATTAGTTTCTGTGCTAGAGTAACTGCGGTGTGAAGTCACGTCACCTGCATCTGCAGTCTGCTGGAGGAGAAGAGCGAGGGCACGGCGTGGTCCTTCAGCACACGGTTGTTGCACTCGCGCTTGAAGCAGTCTCTGGTGAAGTGCTGAGAGCAGATGTTGCTGTACTTGCTGGGCTTGAAGTTTCTTCTCTTCATAGCGGCCAGCCATTTCCCACAGACGTCCGGCCGGGCCAGAGGAAACCTGTGCAGTTATTCACAAACACCAGATTACATCACATCACTGATAACCTCAGGATGGACTCATTCAGATCATCAGCAAATCACTTGATTGCCACTCAGCTATTTACCCGCGTGTAAAGTGAAAACCTACACAATACATCAGCGGAGGAGCACTAACATGCACACACTGTACAGACAAACATCACCGTGAGCACTTAATACACAGGAAATATAACATTTACACAACATACAGAATTACCGAACACAGCTAACGTGTCTGTACGATGCCATGTCCGTTACCTTCAGTGTTGCTTTTTAATGAAATCTAATATTGTGTAAAATAAGGCTTCATTTCATGTGCTGTCATCAAAAGTGCTTATTTACTCGCCTCCTGTGTGACTCTCACAAAAGAAGATATTCTGAAGAATGATGGGAAGCAACGAGTTTAGACTTCCAGTGTACGGATAAAAACACCGAGACATTTCTCAAAACATCTTCTTTTATTTTCCACAGAAGAAAGTCATGCAGGGCTGAAGGTGCATGCGGGGAACTAAACTTAGTCAGAAAGATCACTTGCACACTGCAAGCACATCACTGAACACTAGTGCTAGACACACACGCAACAGCACACGCACTTATGAAAGGAGATGTTTCTGTCTTTGTGGTATCTGTTCTTGCATCCGTACGCCGAGCAGGACTGCACCATGTTTGCCTGCGATGCTGAAGCTGATGCTGAGGAGAACAGGATCCGGAGGACTGCAGGCTTCAGGCTCGACGCTGAGAGCTTCGCTGAGAACCACGGCTCAATCACCGCGCCGCGGCCTCGGCCTCCCTGCAGACACGAACACGCCAAGTGCTGTAATCTTTAACACACATGAAGTACAGTACCTGACATGCACAGGCTAGCCTCCCCCAGTAATCGCTATAGAATCATCTGTAAACACACACACTGATCCTGCAACAGCTTACAGCGCATCAGAGGCATTTCCCTGCTTTACACACAGCCCAGAGCTAAACCAGACAGTAATAGCTTAAGATAAGATTGTTATTATGTAGACACATCTTACTTGACAAGTCTGAGCGGAAGTCCGGGCCGCCAAGCCCCGCCCTCCTCACATGTATCTCTTCATGAGCAGTTCCGTTCAGCGCGCTCGCTTTGTTTCAGTGCTGAGGATCCCTCGGATCTGATTGGCTGCTACATGACGACACCAGGAGGCCATCAGCAGTGTTGCCAACTTAGCAATTTTGTTGCTTAATTTAGCAACATTTCAGACTACCCAAGCAACTTTTAGGGTAAAAGCTTATTTAGGGGGACATTTTTCCAAAAGCACCTAGCAACAAATGTAGCTATTTTTAAAAATGTATTTGGCAGCTTTTAGCGACTTCTGATAAGTGACTCAAATGATAAAAAGGCTCAATTGACCATTTAGATTACACAAAAAGAGGAAACCAAAGATGCCTAGCAGTACACACGCTACAGGAATTAAGTTAGCTGCTGTTTGCAATTGTTTAATAATAATAATAATAATTGAATACTGTTATTTTTCATTTATGAGACACTTTGTTGATGAGTCAGTACACTGTAAGAAAAATATGCAGAAAAATGGAAAAGGTGCTAGTAGCTTTCCAGGACATTATCCGTCATCCGCTGTACCCCGAAAACACAAAATACAATGCGTAATTAAAAATGCAGGCACAAAAACCTGTGGATAAATCAATCCAGAAAACTCCTTCACATTAACACCGTAGACTGTGCATTATGTTTTTTACTTGTCTTAGAGTGCAGCATACTAACTAACTACTAATAAACCGCTTTAAAGTATAAAACTTAAATTGTAATCGTTCAAAAATGTGTACGTTTTCGATAATTCAATGAATTTAAAAATAGTTATTTATATTTTAATGTTATATTATGCATTTATATTGCTACGAACAAATCTAAATTAACATATATATATAAAACATATATGTTTTTGCTGAGATTTGACACAATTTTGCATCGTGATGATGCAATCACGCAATGTCATCACAACGTAATTTAGCAACAAATCAAGCTTCCTTTAGCACCTTCCCCTGAACACGAGCCGGCAGCACTGCTCAGCATCAGGTCACTGCTGGCACTGTAAATAAAGGGAAGGAATTGGTCATTAATACTGATCAAGCCTAGAGAACAGTGCAGAAGGTTTTGATATATATATGAAGAATTCTGCTCCCATGCACATATGATATTACCTGGATATCTTAAAACAGCTTGGCAATTAATGAGGTGTCATAATCCAATCACATACATTTACTAATAGAATGAGCTTCGCTGCTGTCGCTCAAAAAATAATCTCTCACTGGTGTTTTGTCTTTTTCTTCCTGTAATTTATTAGAAATGTTTCCCTGTATCTCACTGAAAATGAAATCCTAATCTGTCATTCATTTTAGATGAGTGACTGGAGAGCACAGATGTTGTTCTTCATTCTGACCATGATCTGGATTGAGTGTAAACCGCTCCAGCATGACTCAGTGGTGCTGTACTGAGTGCAGAGGTGCATCACATGCACAGGGGTTTGTGTTTGTGTGTAAACAGGAGGAGACACACACTAGAACCGGATGCATGTGATGGATCGCAGACGCTTGTTTCCTCACATGGACTGAGTGTGAGACGTGCAGCAGCTCAAACACACACTAAGAACTGAGAACACCTAGTGAGGCATGTCAGCTTTTACACGTCTGAAACAACTCGGGTTACAGTCATAACAAGCATTTCAGCTGTTCTGTGTGTTTGTCACGATGGCAGTGCAGTTTAATGAATGAAAAAGTCCTTCAGTTTGTCTCATTATTATAATACGTGGATCCTGAACATACTATCCTGTTTTATCAAAAAGTTGGTTCAAATAAGAAAATTGACTTTGTTGACAACCCAAAGTCGTCAGTGAGTAGCTTTGTCTCTTTATTTACACGCTGTATTTCTGTCCAAGCCTTTTCCACACTGTACTAACTTAACAGACTCTCTTATGAGAGTAAACATTGGTAATGAAGAATGCTATGAGCGACTGATAGCATGTCTGAGGAGTGTTGCACCAAGAGAGGGCAGTGAAGCATCACAGAAGCCTGTATGCTCCTCCCTGCTGAAGCCCAGTCCAGACACCACAGGACAGGAACGCTTACAGTTTTTTACAATCATTTTTGCTCTAATAACCTTCGAGTAATTTTTCAAAACTCTAGACACAAAACTCAAAACAGTCACGATTTGTAACACAAGCTGTCCAGTGTTCAAAACTTTGCATATTGCGTTCAAAGAAACCTTGAATTTGCAGAGGCATTGGTTCAAAAAACTCATTTATTATGAAATATCATAGGAACA